TACTTTCTTACGCTATTATTACCAAAACTTTTGAGCCACTTTTAAGCTTTTTAGGAATTTTAATTTTCGGGAGTTTTTTGCTGTAATTTCGTTATAAATACACATCGAGACTTGAAACTTATTTTTGACTTACCTAGACGTGGTAAAATTTCCAAAATTATCAGACGATTTTCTTTTTTTTAATAAGTGTTTTGAAATCAAATTTAAAAGAAAATCATAAAAAACTGCACTCGGAATCGTCTTTCGTCAATCAATGATTTATCAATGCTTACAGTTATAAATAAAATTACTTTATGAATCCTACCTTCCCAACTTCCTACCTACAATAATAGAGGCTGCACCCGTATCTAGTATCAGATTTTTTTTAAATTATCGTTTTAAGATTCTAATCAATGATCAAATATCGTAACTCTTAAAATGTAATAATCACGAACAAATAAATCGTATAACAATATAGATTGTACGGAATATGTTTTTGTTAGAATCAAACATTTTTGAAGACTACGAATATATAGACTTTGTATAAAGATATGAGATTTTTTTTATCAATCAAAAATTAACATCCAAGTACTTAGATGTAGGTACCTACATAATTGTATACATTAAACATGCTATTAAACATTGACATGTCTATTTGATATGCATAATTGTTAATTAGTTTAACCTTAAAATGTGACAATATACAAGCTAATAGTATTTATCATTATTATAAATTATTGTATAAGAGTTTTCAATTAGGTGGAATGTTTATTTTGAATTATTTCTGAAAAGCGTTGGAACTAATTTATAAGTTTCTAAATTTAAAACCGAGAATATACTAAAACAAAGTCCCTGAACTTAAAGAATATATAAGTTATTTAGTAGGTAGGTAGGTAGGTAGGTAAGTATACACGTGGAGAACTCAAACCCAATAGTAATCGATAACTGACCTTGTCAGAAAAAATAATAATGTCATTTGTTTGTTCTGACCGGAATTATTGAAGACCGCACAACAAATTATTACTTATCTAGGAAAACCACCTGCAGTAGTTATTCAGTTTTTAAATATAAGAAAATGTTTAAAACGGTAAAACAGAAAAATAATTATACTCAAATTAAAATTTAACCCAAATATTTGGCAATGAGATGAAGAGGATTCAAGTTTAAATTTAAAAACACAAATTATGTGAGGCGATTTAGAGTTTGCTCATCTCGTCCGCTTTCGGTAAGGATACTTAAATATTTAAACACGGTAATGTATTATTATTATCGTGGCTTCCGAATTTCCATTTAAACTAAGAATATAAATTTAAAATAGTGTTTACGGTACTTTTCGCTTTAATTTTTCAAACGCTTCCCGAAACTACTTTGAATTTCAACAATAAATTAAACAAATTTTAACGAATATAAATTTACGTTTTTTTATGTCATTATTGTGTAAAATGAACGTACCGGGTATTAACTGTGTGCCAACGATAACAACTGCAGCTAACTTCAAAGAGTGCCCAGTATTCAAATCTATCCACAAGTACCAAAAAATAAGTACTAAGAAGTACACTTAATATCGTGTAATATAAATAATCGATCGATTAGTATCTACGTAATAATATACCAAATAGAGCTATACATGTTAACAATAATTTACTAAACGGTTCATTAGAGTATTTGGGTTTCTTTTTTTTATTGCAATTGGTAAGAATGTCATATTTTTTTAAGGTGTGCCTACTTGGGGTCAAACACAAGGATCAACTTTTGATAATTTCTATAATTGTGTGTTATACGTGAAATTAGTAAGTGCAAGTTATCTATACCCTAAAATTATCATTGAAATCGAATACCTAACGTTAGATAATTAATTATTTACTATTTAGGTACTGTTCTTACTTCTTTCACAATACAACAGGTTTTGGTGGAATTTGTTTTAATCAAGAAAATATAAACGCGTTCAGGTTTTTTTGATATATTAACTATGTATAACGGGTACCAACGTATTATTGAATTGTCGATTTTCCGATTTGAAAGTACATAAATTTGAATTTAAAAAGCGGTACTAATAAATTAACAATAAATACTTTAAAAAAAAGTTAAGGTGGTACGGTTTAAGGAAGTAAATTTGTAGAATACAACAAATTTCTAGCGTTTTTTTTCTTGCCCGTCGAGCGGTTATGCACATTTCGTTTTGTTTTTTTTTTTTTTTACCAGAAATTTTCGTCCGCGATGAATTTAACGTTACCGTAATGTTTTAAGCCAAACGGGCCGCGTGCAAAATCGTTATTTAAACGTTCCATTAATTTTACAATTCATACACCCGCGCGCATATTGTATATACGCATAATACGTACGATAATATTATGTAGGCACCTACCTTAATTTCAATAGACGGAATAGAAACCCGTTGAAGCATATAAAAGGTTAGGACGTATACGGGCACGTATATTATTGTTATTATTATTATCATTATTGTTATTACTATTATTATTAACACCGAACACCGAAATTATTTGTGTTCCGGAGCAGAGGAAATATAACGTACGCCGCGGCTCATGATTTATCGTACGGTGCGCGCGCACCACGTCACCGTGATGAATTGAGAAAAACTTAAGGGAAGAGTCTCGTAATTTAGAAAGGACGAACAAATGCGTGCGATACCGGCGAGCGCGCGCGCGCGCGTGAGCCTTTTGAAAAATTCGCGTTCGTGTCAATCAGTTTAATAGCCGCGTGCCATGCATACGTATACATTATAACAATATTGTAATGTACGCACCGCGATTTTTCGACTGCTACACGAAGACGTGCGACAATAACAAAAAAAAAAAAAAAATACAACGTGCCTACCTGTATTGCATATTATATGCTCGGAAACGAAAATAACAACACGATAATCCCATTTTATCGCGTTATCGCCATATTCCTTCGTTCCCGTGTCGACGAAAAAAGAAATTATTATACACACATATTCCAGCATTATTCCCGTACGCCGTCGTTCGTTTGTATCGTTATTATTTCCATAACGAATGCTGTTCGTCATGCGACATTCGGAATACGTTCGGGAGTGCATTCCAACAGTGTCTTTCATATACTCCACTTTTCGCTAAAACCTATTTACTGAACTGTTATAATTGATCGTCTACCAAATACCGCCGTGGAGTGGCTTCTGTATTATTATTGGTAAACCCAATACATTTATTTTGTACACATTGACTAACTGTTCGAACTTCTGTCATAAACACTATGTTATAATTATAGACATTTTCTTAGAATTCTATCTATTGAAATGGAATGGAAATTTTGCGTTCCATTTGCATTGACATTCCGACATAAATTCAATGCACTACATTCAACATTTCTGAAAATTTATACGAATGCATTTATTGAAATGATTCCTTTAAAATGGAATATAATCCAATGCATACATTTACCCCGAATGGAGTATAGAATATAATAATGTTAATTTTAGGTTATAACACAATATTTAAGCCCTTTAGACTTTTCAAAGACGAGTTAAATACCATGGACCAGTGTTGCCCAACTGATTTTAATCACTGAGTCTTTTCAGGAACTTGATTATTTGGCGGAACCCCATTTTATTTTTTTCTAACCACATAACGCAAACATAATTTTTAGATACTCAAATGAGTGGACAGTCAAAAACTTCCGGCCTTAGATCATACGTCTAAGTTTATCTAAGGTTTCAGCAACATTTTTGTAATCACTTTCCAAAGCATTCTAGAACTCCTTAATTTTAATTATGAAAAATAATCAAATCAAAAATGGGGTTTACTAATTTATTTTTCGCAAATTTCTCACGGCACCCTTTATGGAACCTTTGGGTTCCGCGGAATACCAGTTAGGAAACACTGTTATAGACTAGTAAATTGCATATTTCAATATTATAATAGATATTACAATATTATTATTGTGAGAAAAAAAATTATAATATCCTTTAAAAAATTTAAATTCCTTTGCTTATATAATATATATAAAAACAAAACCTGACATACTTTACGATGGGTTGGCCACTGTTGTAGATGAAAAGTTAAGAATGTAGAGGGAAAACTTAATGTAAATCTGTACGCAAAGAATTATCATTGCTAACGAAAAACAATTGTGATTAAAGTTCAGTTATACATGTTTGAAAAGCCATAATATTTACAATTCAAAAATAATACGTTTCGTACATTTTCCCGTTTTTCCCAAGTTTTTTTTCCGACTTTTCTCATTTATTATTTGGAAAATCTCTGATAAATACAAAAAAAAAAAAAAAAACTCTTTAAATAAAGTACTACACTTCAATTCCAATCGGAGCAGGATTTCTAGTAGAAAAGTTATTCACAGATTTAAAAAAAAAAAAAAAAAAAAAAAAAACGAGATTATCACTATACATGTAGTTTAAATATTCAATTTTTCCGGACTATATTAAAGTTTTAATTTTTTTTGATAAAACAAAAAAAAAGTTTCAATATGAATATTAAAAATCAATTCGTATAAAATTTAATAATTTGTATATTTAGAGTGGACTTTTGAAAATGCCGTACCATTATTAATTATTTGTTTTAATTTTATATATTCATTAAACTGGCTCATAGAGTTCAAGGTTTTTAAATTTTTATTATTATTTATTAAATAAATTTTATAATATTTTTACCTATTGGAATAAATTACATTATTTTTTTCCGTCATGCATCATAGGGAATCGGATGTATATATTTTTGGTATTCACGTTTATTTTCAAAAGAGTGGCAATTTGTCTACACTGTTTCAGGTTGCAGTAGTCATTATCATCTAACCTTACTGAATCGCTTACGCATATACTACTATTCCTTTGTTTCTTTTATCTCATATGGAAACCTAAAATTCATTAAAATTTTGTCTAGATTTGCCGTGTATTTCATTCTTTAACCAACGAGTTCCTTTTGACCTTTTCGTTAAGTGATTAGTCAGGTAACTATCGTCCTAAAATGGATCGTTGTTGACGTGCAAAATGACTGGTTTTCAAACTGGGCAACAAATCGCCGCGCAGAGTGGACAAATGACTGTTTGCTCGAAAATATAATTGTTAGTAATGAGAAGATGGAAGAATAGTCACTGTATATTTTAGTGTTTATCGTGGATCCTTGTTTCAGAGAGTATATAATAGACATCATCGAGAAACTGGCCTGGTTGATTTATGAGACCGTGATGTGACGCAGAGAAGATGGGGGGAGGACTATCAAAATTTCCCTTGTCAAGCAACCGATAGACATTGTCGCATGAAGTTCACGGACGGTTCACAATTCCATTATATAACCATGGAACAGAGGAGTAAGTGGGGTTGGGCCAGAAGACGTATACTTTGATAACCGTTTGCACGGGAATGGGGGTAGTACTAATGGTTCGTATAGTGAAATGATAAATCGTTCTTCACTCGCTAGGATTTATCGATACAGAATCAGATGAACGCCGAAATATTAAACTAAACAATACCGTCATGTGTGTATGGTCGTATAAACTATACAAATATGTGATACATTATGGCTATACAAATCAATATTGATGATACGAGAATTCAGATTCCAGACTGAAGTAAATTTAATTAATACATATACCAACAACAGTATGATATTCCACTTTAAGAAATTACTAGTATTTTATTTGATAATTAATTAAATTAATTTATATTCGGTCCTAATCGAGAAAATATGTTTGAATTTATTATTATTGTTACGAAATTTATACTATGTATTATTTATTCACTTTTCGTTGATTATGATTGAATCCATACGATTTTTACCAATGTGGGTTTTCCCTTGAAAAAATCTCTTTCACTTAGTTTAAATACTAAAAAAATTATACCTGCAAATTTATTAATTTTTTGTCCGACAGTATTTCCATTGAAATATTGTTTTAAGTAAACCCAATAATTGAAAAAAAAATAAAACCCAAAACAATAGACGATAAGCAGGTTTTTTACAAAATAGATGGCCCGCTGATGTCTAAAACCAGTATTGTTGCCGGATTTTTAAATTTTAATTTCGATATAGAATTCACACTCGAATTTTGGACTTTGTTTATATTTCTAGGTTGCTTGGAACTTTTTTTTTATAATCTTTCGTAGTTTTCATTGAACCATTCCAACGTGTTAACTGCCTACCCACAATTCCGTGGCCAATCAAAGCTTTAAAGTAGGTATAACCGTATTTTAAGGTTAGCGATATTAAAAACAATGATTCCAGCACAACATTTTATATTTTTTATACTTTAAGTTAGTATTTCGAACGATTTACTACTATTCATTTTATATTAAAAAAAATAACTCTGACCATATTCCATTGACATATATTTTGCAACGACTGACTTTCAATTAAAAATCAAGAAATTTCGAAAATTATAAAATTCTCCTGGCTTTAAACGTGTTGTAGGTATATGTCAATCCCACATTATGAACTTCCATCGTCTTATAATCGTACCCAACAGCTCTATAACCCGGCAATTCTCTCAATCCGGACATTATTGCAATATATTGTTATATAATAATAATTTAAACCATTAACCGCTACCGCTACTTGGCAACCGACTGAAACCGACGACGACAATATTATTTATACCCATTCATTATTCGGTCTTCGACACCGGCTATAACATTCGACATGATGGTGTAAGCACTATAATGACGCTCGAGTACTGTGTGTGTGTGTGTGCAGGTGTTTTTGTGCGCGTGTATGTGCGGATCGATAAAAGGTTGAAATCGCGTGACCGCATTTTCAAAATAGTGTAGACAGGGAACGGCGGCGTGGCGTACAATAGTTGGCGGGTAGCTTTATAGTGTATCCGAGTGTGTTTTACAACACTGGCGGACAATGTGCAAAATAAATCAAAATGTCCCGGGACCGAGCGCGAGTGCGGTATCATTTTTTTTTCATTTTTCATTGTGCGCACAATGGAGAAAATTATTATTGTTGACCTCTGTCACCCTCTCAACTCCTTCCCTCATCTCCAAACCATCCTGACCGTCATATCGTAATAATATACGATGTATATGCATACCTTACCCCTATATACATGCATACCCTAAAATAAAAGTGGACAATAATTATAATACCACCGCCTGTAACTTTTTTCTACTGCTATAATACTTAAATACACTGTCCGACACTTAAACAAAACGCACGAGTTTCGAACATTATAATTTATTATTATTATTATTATTATTATTATTACTATTATTATTATTCCGAGAGTGTAACAGCCACGCGATCGTACGAATTAATTGATTAATACTTTTTTATTTAAACTCCATGTTGTAATATTTCAAAATGTTTCGGTATTTCACAAGTATTATTTCTTATTTTTATTTGATCCTGAAAGAATTTCCACAGCAAATCAAAAACTTGGATATGTTTCACGGTATTTGAAACCAATGGATTACATACTATACGTAGATAATGCATAATGCATAAAACATATTGTGAAGGTATATAATATATATCTATACCTGTTAGGTAGAAAGCGAAAAAGGAAAATAGATAACAATATTAGCTTCTATCTTACTCGACAAGAAATTGACTTTTGTTTCATTTTTTTTTTATTATTATTTTTTTTTCAAATATGTGTTTAACGAATTATTAACGATTTTATTGATAGTAAAAGATTATCGAACGATCATTCGATCGTATTGTTTCCAGATATCAATGATAAATTTACTCAATTTCTTAGACCAACAATTTAAAAGTTCATGGAGTCTAAAATACATTTTTGCCTTACGAGAAAAATTATTAAGAAACGCCTGTTCTATTTATAATTTACCTACTAAAACCAAATAAATGTATCATTATTTTTTAATAAAGTTTATCAAAATTCGAAATTCAATTTTATATGTCAATAAAAAAAAAAAAAAAATGAACCGTGAGTAATTAAACCATTGTTTGATTTTTATGTAATGATATATAAGTGTGAAAATAATTTTCACTTCATAAACCTCCTATTTCATATAATAGTTTATTCATAATAAATTATTATTTTTTATGACGAGTATAAAATGTATGAATATAAAGAAATTGTAATGCATATATTTATACTTATGTAAGAGTTTTAGCCTATATAATAATATTATGTGTGTAATAACTAACAAACTCGATAACTGTATATTTTAAAATGCAAACTGCGCGAATAAAATTCAAACTTTTAACACAATTAAAAGTTGGTTTTAATGTATTAGAAGACTTTTTCTTACATTATTATATGATAATGTAACATATTATTCAACAAATTTAACACACTAAATACATGTGCATATACATTCAAGCCTGAATGAGTATTCTCTGTTATTATATGTGCTCACAGTGTTGAAAAAAAATGTCGACCAACACTAGTGGAAAAAGAAAACTTCAAGGGGCCACACCATTAATATTGTCCCCAGCTGATATCGAAATTGAAGGTAATAACAAATGAAATTTATTAAATTATTTATATTTAAATAGGTACCTAAAACTATGTATAAATATGAATAAATTATTAATTTTAATAATTGCATAAAATGATATTAATTCATAACAATACCTAGTTTTAACAATGGTTCATTAATTTTATTTAGCTATATCTGTTTATTTATATGAATTTACAACTGTAAGGTTAGATAATTTGCTTTACTTAAAAATGTCGTTTAATATTTTACATACCTATACGAAAAACGTAGAAAAAATGGAATAGTTTACCAAATTAACAGTTTCATTATTATCAATTTAATTTTTTTTTATTGTAATTTAGTTTAAAATAACAGTAGAAATCTAACAGAATTTCCATAGAATACGATATTGAGCTGTTTTAAGGCTTTTGACATTTTGAGTTTTTTCGTTTTTATTTATGTAAAATTCTTTTGGAAATTATTGAAAATTTACCACGACGCTTATACATTTTACATTTTACTTAATAAGCTTAAACAAAATATGGGGGTTATTTAATAGTTTTTTTTTTTTTTTTATAATATGAATAACCAAACTTCGCTCAGAATCGTATCTCGTTTACAGTTATTTATCGCTGCATATGGATGTACATAAAATAACTCTATGTTTTATGCCTTCTCGACTTCAAGTCTATAACACCGGCACACCCATCAGTATAGTAGCTGCTTTTATTTCTTTATGATTTAGTTTAATCAACGCGGTTTGATGGCTATGTTACAGTACCGTTGCTTGCATTTGTTGTAGGCAGTGTAGCGAAATCACTGTAAATCCTCCGGGTACCTTTATAGTTGTGTTCGTTTGCTGCAGGACAAGAATAATATTTATTTATTCAACAATGTATCCCTATCTAATGAACATACACCGCACTGATGTTTCTGGCGGTTGTTGTTGTAGTCGTAACAAATTATCTTTAGACTAACACTTGCCAGTTGCCGAGGGGTTGTTAGGTAATAGTAGTAGTTGTCGAACCGAGGTATATATATAGATACCGTGGTGGATAGACAGATAGATGGATACATACCCAATTTAACGAGGAATGAATTTATACAAAGGGTTCAGTTCTCTGGATATATATTGCCATGCACAACTATTCGAGATTCGATTCGGTCCCTTTAAACTACACGAGGGGTCACCACATATTTTCCTGATCAAAAACGATGTAACTAATAGAATTTTATTGTAGGTGTAGATCATTTGATTCTGAAATTTGATCCACCACTACAGCGTTTTAAATATTCAAATAGATCAAATATTTTTTAATTTTTCAAGTACTTTGATAAATTAACTTTTTTTTTTATATCATTGAATAAGTTCACTATTTAAATACTTAATTTGTTTTGGGTACTTAAAAAAGATAAATACTTGATAAAGCAATTATACTTATCGAAAATATAACATTTATTTAAAAACTATTTTATTAAACTCGCAATATTTGTTTTTTTTTTTAAATATCCGAAATTTTATTTAGAAAAATGTGTATACAAATATTATTAAGTATTTTTACCCGAATGCGATGATTTAAAACTTAAGTAATTTTTCACATTCAGAAACTGATCTAGAATATATTTGTTGATAAAATTAATGTACATTTAATAAAATAACTATTAATAAACAACATCAAGAAAATAAATAAAAAAAATTGGCTGACAGTCAATAATTTTATATAGGTTTTTCTCCTATTGTTTATTACATGTTACAAGTTTTAATTAACATACAGGTTGTTTTTATAAGTGATATATTGATTCGTTGACTAAATGTTTTTGCAAGGATGCGTGAAATAGTATAATAACTAATAATAATTTAAATAATACCAATACTTTTACTTTTTTCAACTGCCTTCACACCCTTCTTTTCGTTAGTTTTCGAATGCTTCTTTCATGCACAATA